ACTTCTAAGAATGGTGAGACGAATTTGTATTCTAGGTAGGATGACCTTGAAGAACTCGACATTACAATTCTTCTCCGATCCCAACCAGCACAGCGCATGCGTCAGCTGTCTTCCCACGCAATTAATCCCCCCCCCATACCCTAAATTACAGGATTTTCACAAAGGGTGGCGTTGAAAATTTTCCCGCTCCTTAGGGGGGCAGCAGCTTCAAAAAGGTTGAGAATCACTGGTATACAGGAACATCTGCACAGCATATGGGCTAGAGCCCCCCAAGTCCAGATGGGAGATTCCACAGAAGGTCATGGAGAATAACAGGGCTAAGATCCTGTGGGACTTCCAGATCCAGACGGACAGGCAGGTACTGGTCAATCAACCAGACATCGTGGTAATAGACAAGGACCAGAAGACAGTGGTAGTGATAGTTGTAGCAGTGCCAAGTGACAGCAACATCAGGAAGAAGGAGCATGAGAAGCTGGAGAAGTACCAGGGCCTGATGGAAGAACTAGAGAGGATGTGGAAAGTCAAGGCCAAAGTGGTCCCAGTGGTGGTAAGAGCACTTGGGGCTGTGACTCTTAAGCTGGGAGAGCAGCTCCAACAGATCCCAGGAGCAACAGCAGAGCTCTCTGTCCAGAAGAGTGCAGTGTGAGGAACAGCTAAGATACTGCACAGAACCCTCAAACTCCCAGACCTCTGGCAGAGGACCAGGTTTGAGGAAGACACGTACCACCCACAGGGGTGAGAGGGGAATTTTTTATATATATAATATGTATTAAGAAAAGCCCCTTGAATCCAAGGAAGTTCATAAAATAAATTGTTAAGAAGAAAACTGTACATGACCTATTGCTGAAATACATGTAAATTCAGAAAGAACAACAAGAAGAAACAGCCAGGCTAGTTTGCAGCCTCCACTTTTTCTTACCGATTTATATTCTGCCAAGAGAACTAGCCTTGCTTCAGATGTTCCTGGAAAATCTGAAATATTGTAACAACTAGTTTAACTGAAACTTGTCTAGTTTCCTCAGATTCCTTAGAGGGATCTGAGTAAGTGTGAAAGGAAAATATTATATTGATCTGGTCTTTTATGAATACTAGGAGCACCATATTAAATATACCAGACTGTGTAAACTCTGGAAGTTATTCCAAGCTTCTATTCTAAGCAATTTTGGCAGATGTAATTCTGATATTCTGGGAAGGTACCAAGTTGGAGAAGACTCCACTATCTGAAAGGCCAATTAATGGGAAGTGTTTCTCCAATCTTCTTTCACTTCTGTGGTTTTTCCTGAATTTTAAGATGAAACTGCTGGTTCTACACCCATACTATGAATCAAGAGAAAGACCAAGGGGATATTTTCTTTCAGAATCAGAATGGTGGGATGATGTCATCCCCAATGACCCACTGTCTATGGTAGCCACTGTTGTCTAGTTCCTAGAGTGTACTGTCACATCTCAGCATAGCACGAAGGCTTCCCAGAGCTAATAAGGTTCAATTAATAAGATTAAACATGGAAAACTTGCTTTCATAGGTTGGCAAAAACACAAGTGGGGATGACAGTGGAAAAGCAGATGATATTGGAACCAGGGTGGTTCAGCATAAACTCACACCTATGTCTCTGGATTATACTCCCACCTATTACAAAGTTATTATGTAAACCCAGAATATTAGCCTGGAGAAAGATCCCAACAAACTATTCCAGATCTGTGTGGCCAAGGCTGGTTAAACAGGATTCTGATCTTCATTTAAAGATGACATAAGACTTACTTTGCTTGCTTATTTATCTTCCAAGCTGTCTCTAGAGTTGACTAGACTTAGCTAGAGAAGAAAGAATGGACTCAGGCTTAACTAAGGATGGAAATGTTTTCTTCCTTATTTCCTTAACATTCCCTCCCTCAAATAAGGAAATCATTTTTAAATCCCCTCTATTTTGATTTGGCATGATATGTTTAATATTTTTGCATAAGATATTTAAAAACAATTTGCTTAGCCTTCATAGGTTCAGATCAGTCCTTGTTCTTGCTGATGTGTATGAAGAGAATGTTTGCTGTTTATTATTATTATTGTTGTTGTTGTATGTAACAGTTAAGATAAATTCTATCCTCCGCCCCTCAAATAAGGTTGTCAGGGTGGTTTCCAAAGAGAATGCTGAAATAATTACATACATACCTAGATGCTATTTCTTGGTTTCCTTTGTTGACCAGGAAAAAAAAAAGCAAGGTTAAGACATCAAAATAGCCCATACTGTGCAAATAAAAAGGGGGAAAACTGAAGCAAACTGCCTTGTTTTTATAGGGTTGGACTTAGAGATATATCAAAAAAGGGATGTAAAGGAAAAGGAAATGTGGCCTAGTTTTTTACAGGAGCAGGTTTGTGTTTTATAGTAAATTAGACTTTACTGTGGCATGGTAGGCAGTACATAATCAACACCATAAGATCTGTGGTGAAATTTGTGTAAAGAAAGTAGCATGGAGTGTTTTATTTAAAAAACACAATACGCATTAAGGCAGTGTTGTCCAAACTTGGCCACTTTAAGATGAGTGGACTTCAACTATCAATCCCCCTAAACCATCTCCATACATGCACGTGGGTGGCGGCGCCGTGGAGATGAGTCCCCCCAATATAAAGAGAGAGGAAGGTCATAACAC